ATATATATATATATATAGAGAGAGAGAGAGAGAGAGAGAGAGAGATACACATATGTATTAGCCTCCCAAACAATACTCCAAAGAAGGTTTACAATCATGAAGGACTTGAAAATGAGGTAACCATTTATAACTTTTTTTCTATATGCACTTGATACGTTGTCATTGGGTTCCTTTTCCTCCATGAAATGAGGTCATTTCAGCCCTCAGACACCTTTAGAGAGATTCTAGGAAGAGCACGCCAAGAGTCAGCACAGAAATCCATTACTGGATTCCCAAGGTGTTATCCAGATCTTTTACTGAATCAGATTCAGGCAAGTGTGAACTAGAGAAATGAACTCATCATTAGCACCATCCAAACAAAATGAAAAGCACACCATTGCTGTGTTAGCTGGGTATTCAAGTTTGAAATAAGGAGTAAAGGATGAAAAGGGGAAGAAAAACTCAGCTTGTAGCTGTCAACTGCCTTCTCTTTGAATGTGCTTTTCTTGTCCTTTTCCCCCTTTATTTTTCACAACTATGAGATGGGACTGGAATGTGTAAGAGACATTAAATCAGGATTGAAAAGATTGTTTTCTATAATCCAATGAGAATATTTATTAACATGCTTTATCACCCAGGCCTTCCTCTGACTAGGCCCTGTTTTGTTTGCTTAGAATACATCTCTTTGCTGAATTAAAAACTCTGAGAAGTGGTACTATGCCTGTAAAATCATATTTGAATTAATGGCTCAGTCACAGAATAAATATGCCCTCATTCTAGATCTGGTAGAAAAAGTTATTCATTCCATGGACTTAATGGGTTTAGGCACATTCTTTAAAAAAATGCACTATTTGGAGAGAAACACTGAGTCACAGAAGGAGAGGTAAAATCAAACCTCAAATGGACCAAAAAGTTAATGTGTAAGTTTTAGCTTTCTTGTTCTTCATTGATTCATTCACTCATTAAATGAACAACTACTGGCATTGTCCACATGCCAGGGCTCATCAGAATAATTGGTTCAATTAATTCAGACTACAAAAATTCATTGAGCATTTATATTCTGCTAGCTAATAAACCGCTAGCTATAACTTGTTGCATCCACCAAGTTAATTGAATAAAAATGAATAGGAGGTGAAGAAACAAAAATTATAAATATTAAGACAAGCAATGTGACAAAACATTATGAATACATTTAAATAACTGCTTTGATGTCAAATTTTATCTATGATAAAAATGTATAGCTTTTCCTTTCATATTATCATTGATTGTCCTTCTTATCCGCATCACATCAGATTCTATTTTGTTGACTTCCAGGTGTATCCAACTGAGTTGAGCTTGGAATTCCTTACAAAGGAATCAGTTGAAGCTTTGGGCTCTGTAGGCAGACAGATGGGAATATGTCTGTAAAGGCTAAATCCAGTGTAAACTTAGCACATATGGAGGCAGGCATTATTACTATCCCAGTGGCACTCGTGGGTATTTTCTTAATAGATTCTTTCAAAATTCTTTCTTATAGCTTGGACATTTAGTAGACCAATGACAGTTAGTGGAAAGAACAGGATTTTAGCCCCTCAAAATCATTTGGCTATGTACCAAGGACATTTTTTGTTTTCACACCTGGAGGAATGAGTCCTCCTGCATCTGGTGGATAGAAACCAGAGATGCTGCTCAAGGAGTGAGTTTGCAGAAGAGGTCTTAAGAACAAAGAGCTAGCTGCCTGGGGCACCTAGATACAGGACGTTGTAAGCTCCCTAGTTGTATCAGCCTGTTGCTTGAGCTAGCTTGCAAAACAAAACAGAAAACGGCAACATGGATTATAACAAACCTCCTAAGACTGTAGTGAACACTGGCACATTTATGTGTATGCATATATTTAGTAAATTCACCCCTTGTTCTTCCCAGGCTACCTACCCTTCCTCAAATCCTCCTTCCTCCCTCAGTACTACCACCTCTGAATCTCAAGTTTTCTTTTAAAATGCTTTGATTTCTTTGGTGGCAAAAACGAAGCCTGGGCTGGGATGTGAGTCACCACTCAGCAGCGAAAGGAGTCTGTTTTCTTTCTCTGAGTACATTTCTTAATCATTTCAGCCTGACCCTTTGCACTTGTTGGTTAAATCCTCTCTTCATGTCTAAGACAAACGAAGAAAAAGCTGCCGCACCAAGACGTTTTTCCAATTGTTAATTTAGGAGAGATTTATAGATACCGAAAATAACCAGAGGACCGAGAGCCCTGGCATCCTGTTACATAAGCAGATAGAGTGGCTAGCCTGTGCGAAGGTTCCTCTCCCCACTAGCCAGTCTCAGTGATGTACCTCAACGCTGCTGGGCTGCTGGAGTCTCAAGAGTGGTCCGGATGCTGCACACTGCAGGCTGCTCAAGGAGAGCGTTCTATCAAATAAGCCTTGCAGCAGTGACTAGCGATGGGACCAGGCTTCAGCAGCCGCTCCCAGGAGCCAGGCTCCTGCAGACTCCCCAGCAATCCCAGCCCACACAGCACATATAGTGCCCCTGGACGCCCCCGCGTCCCCTCCTTCACCTCGCTTCGGAACCTTTGGGATTTGCTGAATAGTCACTTGGCTTTTCAGTTTCATAGAAAACTATTAGTGACAGTCATTCACAATCCCCCCCCCCCAAAAAAAATCACAAAACCGGAAAACAATTCAGATCCCATCCTATCTTCCAGAATCTTCTCACTCTCCCTCTCCCTCCCTCCCTCTCTCCCTCTCTCCCTCTCTCCTCTTCTCTCTCTCCCCCTTCCCCCTCTTTCGCTCTCTTCCCCCTCTTTCCCTCTCTCCCCCTTTCGCTCTCTCCCCCTCCCGCTTCCGTTTGTCTTCCCTCCCTCATTCATTTCCTCCCCAACCTTTCACTTCTATGGTCTCGGTCTCTTTACTCTTCCTCCTCCCCTTTCCAGTCCTGCTTTGGCTCCCCCGCCCTCCCACATCCCTGCCTTCCTTCCCTCCCACAGGCTGGGCCCCTCCCTAGACAAGTGTCCCGCTCCTCTGGGGCAGCCCGACGCCCCATCGCTCTCTCTCTCTGCCCACCTACTGTGAGGAGCAGCTCCTCCCACCTGCCCATAAAAGCCAAGTGCAAGTTACCAGAGGTTCAGAGCACTTCCCGGTCCTCTCCGTGGGAGCCCAAGCGCCTGTCTCCCAGATCTTACGTGCTCAAGGTAAGATTACCCTTGTACTGGGAGCTGACCTAGTGGGGTTTACTATGGCAAGTAAATCGCTTCTGATCAGCGCACTTACTAAAGAGTTGGTTCTTAAGGATGTTGGGATCAGCTACTCAACTTGCAACTGGTTTGAAAACAAACTTCTGTTTGAACAGTAAAATAAAAACTCCTTTTTGGCAGAAACAACAGCATAACTATTAGGAAAAAAAACCTTTTCTCTTTTATATCACTATTTCCAGCCCGTCTGACTGTTGCTAGGGTTAAAATGTCTGTTTGAGGTTAAAATGTATCTGTTTGAAGTGTTAAGCTCATGTTTTTCATTGTAAATGTTTCACATATCAGTGGGAGCAAGGAAAACTGTCCCATTGTCAAAAATGCACCTTAAAAGAATACAATTAGCTATCTAAAAATAGGACAGTCAAAAGGTCTGCTAACAATTTTGTGATGTTTTCCAAACCCCCAAGACAGCTTCTGTGAGTCCTTTAAGAAATATCTTTCCAGGTTTAAGCACTTGGAAAAAATGATGTGAACCAGTGGCCTTTGCCTGGGGACAGTAATCAGGTGGCTGGTAGATAGGAAAGAACAAATCCCAGCTTTACAAGCTGGGGCAGGATGAGCTACTGTGAAGCAATCGTTTCGCAGTATCCTAAAATGAGAATTGTGTTGGGATGAAGAAAGTGTGTAAAAGAACTTCATGAATCTCTATACATATCTCTAAACATAAAGTGTTTCAATATGTTTCACAGAGAAAAGGACAGGTCAGATTATACAGTACTTCTGCACACACCAGACTGTTGTAAAGTAAGATCAGCTACAGAGGCATTAGACTGAGTTTTAAATCCTACCACCATTCTGCCCTCGTCTAGCAAATGAAAATCTACTTCATTGATGACTAACTCTCCCAGACCTACCCAATGCTTAGGAATCTTCTTGGGGGGCGGGGGGGCTTGTTCCGTTTATCCTGAAGTAAAGTGTTCTGCACCTGTGAGAGGAAAAATATACCCAATGGCTACTTCTGTAAAACCAGACTCTTGGTCCATGAAGTTTGCCATCATAATCTGTGGGTTTTGTGGATGAAACTCTCTCATGTGGGAGAAAACTACCTTCAAATATTTCATCTGGAGAAATGTAGAAGCTCCACTTAGAGAAGACAAGCTGAGGCTGCCAGCCAGGAAACCAAACCACTATTTGAGCCCTTAAGGCTCTTAATGTGAGCGAAACTGTTCACTTTTTATTTCATGTCTGTTGGTTGTACGTTGTTTCACATGGGAAGAAAAATGTTACTGCAGGTATAAAATCTTCTTCCTGGTAAAGAAACTGAAATAATTAGACACTTAACTCAGAGTCTTTCTGAACATTTCTCTTTATCTTTCAAAAATCAAAAGAAATGTTAAAACTGTTTGGGATGGAAGGGATCCAACACAATTATTCAAATAAAAGAATGATATGTGGCAAGTTCTATCATGCTGAATTTTTTTTCCCACTGGAAAAATTGCTACAAAGAGTGTGGTTTCCTTTAAGAAAATGATTTTTAAAATTACTATTGGCCAAGATAATATGTGACCTGTGCACATTCAAATACCTTTTATCTCCAGTCACAGTGCAATCTGCTTGTTTCATACCTAACATGAATAATCAACTATGACAAGAGACAGGTATGAGATGGGCCAAACTAGGTGTGTGGTATGTCCAAGTTGGCTCTTCCTTTAGAGTAGTGCCTGACTCCTACCCAGCATCATCAGGGTGAAAAGACACTACCTTCTTTGCCGGATCTCCTCCACCAAAGTTATCTTCTCTAAGTGGCAAAATGCTCACAGTGAAAAAGAACTCTTTGTTATTCTTAAATTTGAGGATGACAAGTGTTCTCTGGAGATTTGCTTCTGCTTTTCCTGGCAGTCTGAATAGGCCAACTATGAAAAGCTTAACAGTGACTGCCTTCCCTGTTTGCCATGAAGTTCAAGCCCCTAAATGACTGGGTGAGATCATCTTAGACTGTTCATGATTTAACCTTACCAGGGGTATTAACAATCAAAGCTATTCTTTCCATAGGGCACATAGCAGGTAAAATGGCACATCTCTTCTTTCATGTTAGGAAAGTCAGCAGTAAAGCATTATTTAGTTACCCCATCCCCATCATTGCCCCTTCTGCACAGACTGTCAAAGGACAACCTGAGTCTCCATTCTCTGCCATCAGATAGTTGTGCATGGTCATATCCATCCATCGCCATTGTGGCAGGCTGCAGATAACTCCTTAGCAGAAAACAAAAGGTGCCCTGAAGTTTTTTGAGGTCCTGCTATACTTAGACAAAAATACATCTTGGGTATGTGTTTCTATTTATGAATTAAAATATCCACATGGTCAAAGAACATGTGTTATTTTTCTTTTCTTTCAAAAAATCAAGGACAAGAAGATAAGAATGACTCAGAATTACGAGGGAAGCTGAGAATCACAGAAGTGCTCCCAGGACAATAGAGGGGTCAGGATCGGTCATCAGACATGGCCATGGCCTCTTGCTGCCCACATTTAAGTAGAGTTAGAGGGGATGGAGAGAACTAAAATGTTTGTTCTTGGGTTTTTGTTTGGATTTTCTTTTCTAATCCAAATAGTATTGCTTCTAATAAGTCAAGATCCACCTCTATTGTGCTTCTCATTGGTCCTTTCTCCAACAGACGAGAAGAGTATACAAACCCAAAACGATTTCAAGTGTGCCAGTTATAATTTTAAAAGTTATGCTGTGGGTATAAACCATCCTATTTTTACCTAATAAAGGTCACATCTGCAAAACAAAGTCTAACTCTCCTGAAGGATGCAATGTTGTGTGGACATTTGCAAGTTAGAAGTTGGAAGCATCAATTTACCCCTCTTCCTTAGTCACCACCTTGGTATAGCAACTGGCAGAATGTCTAAGAGACATCCATAATTTCCAATCTCTGCTTCTCCATGTAACCCAGAGAACCAGGTCTTTCTTCATGCCTCCACTTTCGTACATGTGCATAAGTTAAAGAAAGTCCAGATCTTGAGAGTAGTCTTATGACACAGAGATGTACTGTTCTGTTAAGCAAATGTAGAAAAGAGGAAGCAGTTAAGGGTCAACAAACACCTTTGGAATTTAGAGAACCATTCCCTAGGCATTGTGTGAAAAGGATCTCTAGTACCTCAGACATATCTGAGTGAGAAATCCTACACATAAGTTGTTACCAAATGTTAAGGGTGTTCTAAAAAAACAAAAAAAAGACTTTCCAGGGACCTGGTAGTCATTAACCGCAGTTTTCACCCCATGTACTAAATTATGGTTCTGCTAACTCCTCTTCCCTTTCTAGAAAGATGAGGAGGAGTGAAAAATGAGAAAGACTTAACCACATTTCAGCACTGAGAGAGAGAGAAGCCTCTGGTCAGAGATTTCAGTGTGGCTTTCCTCTAGTAACTACATGCTGCTTAAGGAAGGGGGTACTTTTTATAGTCTTTCCTCAAACAAGTAGCTTTTTCAGGAAGGAGCTGAAAAGGAACCCAGAAGTTTGAAATGTCTACAGTCTGGAAGCCCTATGCACTCAAAGCCAGGACGCCATTGAAACTGCATCAGATCAAACTGAAATAAATAAAATAAAAACATTCCCCCAAACTAATCATAATCTCATCACCTAAAATGATGAATTCTAATTTCTCAGTGAGTCCTAAGAGCCAAAGCAGCAACTAAATTGGTTCTATACAGTGTTGGAACCTCCTGATGATTAGTTTCCAGGGTCCTCTGTTTATTTATGATTCGCTTCTACTGTCTTTCCTGGAAAACAAAACTGGCCACTTCTCCTTCACATAGCCTTTTCAGGATTTACAGCTGTGGTCACAGTCCCTAGGTGCCACCAACATTTTTCAATGCAAAAGGTCTCTTTCAGTTTATAGTGAAGTATTTGGAGTAGCACCCAGGCTTGCAGTTTTTCTCCTTACCAGGTGTCTCCTCCTACTTCCCCACCAAACCAAAAGCTCTGACCTTTTTTAAGCTTTGATTGCTATACATAGTGAAAGGTCATTTAGAATTGCTCCTTGCCTCCAGCAAATTGTCTGAGATGAGGTTTCTGAGTACTTTTATTTATTTAGTAACTGTTCAAACTTCTGGAAGGTTAGGAAGAACCTAGAGAACATAAAATGGGAGTGCTAGGAGGGATTTAGTGGCTAACTTTAGCTAAAAGTTTGTTTTACTGGTGGAAGAGGTCAGAAAGGTTGTCTTTCACACAGTCACCCAGATGAGCTTAGCACAAGCAAGACTGAAGGACAAGAGGCAAACTCTCCAGTCAGTGCTCTATCTTCAATAACTGTGATGTCTCTGTCCACCCTATGTGCCTCTAACTGTGCTGCGCAGTCTGTAAGAACTTAAAGCATGATTCACAAATGGATGGAGGTTTGAACCTCAGCTATATTAAAGAATGTCTAGGACACATGACTACAAACCCCATGCAGACTGAGGTTACTGATCATTAACATCATAAGGACCTTTGGAGATTTCCTCTGTGGCAGAATCTGGTGCACAGCAGCTGCTTGATAAATCTGTGCTGGACAGGGAAGTGAATGAAGAAAAATGAAAGAAAAAAGAACTAAATAGAAATTAGCCACTTTTTCCAGCTCCTTCCATAAAATTCCTATAAGAAGCATTTAAAATACTGTTTCAAGGTCAGGACCCTCTCATATTAGGAAATGTAAAGGAATCCACTTAATCTCATCAAGGGCTAGGCCATTGCTTTTCCTTCAGGACTTGTTAATTCTTTGTACTTTTATCTGAGCTCTAGAAATTATATTTATTTTTGAGGCAAGTTTAAGACCTAGTTTCAGTATTTATATGAAGCAAGGATATTGATAGGCAATTATTTGCAGTAGATTCTTCACTTTGTCCCTCTCAAAAGACATTGTGATGCCAATTTATTTTGTGTCTCCCCATGTCTTTAAGGAGAGACAAGGCAAAATACACATAGTAGGTAATCAGAGAAAACATGAGGACGTGGAACAA